TCCGGTTTTATATGCCTCCTGAAATAATTCCTCAGCACCCTCGGGAACGGGTTACCCGCCATCTTGACATAGCAGAAGTGATACCTCCAGCCTTTGTGAGACGAGGGCACATTGTCAAACAGCCTCCACGGAGCGAGCTGTTGCAGGTTCGCAAACCCCTCAGAATTTGCATGCCCCCGACAAAGGTTGAAACTGGAAAAATAAATCCAAACTGGGAGTGGCCCCCCGGGACTTGCAGATGTTCAGGAAACCGGCGATATAGGAATGGCTATTCGGGGTGAGTTGGCAGGGGGCTAGGCCAACATACCTGAGGTACTCCAAAAGGAAGGGGTGCAATGGAAACTGAAGGCCCATTGAGACAGAAAGAATGTGCACAATGATGCATCCCTCAGGTGCCCGAGATAGCACATCATCAGGTCCCGGTTGTACCACCGTCACCGAAGGCCCTACGTGTAGCTGTGTAACGTAGCACTCGACCGGGTTAGCTCTAGAGTTTATCGCCAGGGCGCCTGTATTCAGCCATGAATACCCTTCGGGAATCCCCATAGGTTTCCCCTGATCGACAGCACCCCCTTTCTTCTAGGGGGGCTCCATCTTCTTCTTGTCCTTCTTCCCGGGAGCTACGCTTATAGGCGTCGGGTCGAGGGGATGAGAGCTCCCGGCTTCGTCGTTTAGCCGAGAGGGGAGGATGGCGATGGTAACTCTTTGCCTCTCTTTCTCTTCCTCTTCTTCCGCAGTTTGGAGAGCGAGGGCCAGCTCCTCGTCGTCATTGACTTGTTCAAAGTCTTCGGCCTCGGCCTCGGCCACCAAGTCCTTCTGCACCTCGATAGCGACGGCGGAATCACCACTCACCGAGGGTTTCTCGCTAACAGACTCCACGACTGTGATGCTCTCTTCCTCAACAGAAGGCTCCCTCGAGATATTTTGCGAATCACTTTGCGAAGACATTTTTACTACGACCGAAGGGTTTGAGGGAAAAGAGTTTTCTAAAAAATCTAAGTCCTACAAAGAAGACCCTACTAAGTGAGCAAAGAGAAAACGAGGAACTAACCTTGGGGGCTAAGTTTGATCGCAGAGCACTTTCTCTCTCTAGAAAAAATTGGTCAGGGCTTCGCTAAAACAAATGAAACGCGTAAGGGAGGAATGATCCTGACAAGGGGTATTTATAGCCTCCCTCAATCTGGGCCTGGGCTTCGAATTGGGCCCCAGTTACAAAAGTCATCATTGCGCGCCGTCTCTTCAGCCAACTGGTGACACCCGCCCGCAGTCAGCCAATAGGTACACGCCACGTGGGGACCACCTCCAACGGCTATATCCCAATGGTCATATTCCAGTTGTCATGTCCTAACGGCTCTCTTTCTCAGACTAAGTTCCCCCACCTGGCACCCCTCAGACAACACTGTGCTTGCCTTAGGACTTTCTCCTTCAGACTCCTTCATCAAAGGAGCCCCCGGTTTAACAACGAGTAAGCCCCTCAGGGCCCCTCAGCCCTCAGCATGTTGAAAGCCAGGGAACCCCTCATTTGTGGTTAGCCTCCGGCACACAGGGACAATCACCGGCATTCATCAACAGGGATCACGCCTTCAGCCTCATTGGTTGGGGGACTACCCTCGACAGTCCCCGGGATGCTCACTCATGCTTATCAACTACAGACACCTTCGAGGAGTGCTCCCAGCAGTCACTCCCCTCGGCATCACCCGAACACCAACGAAGGGCCTTCGGCAAAATCAGCGATCAAACCCTCAGATCACGGATAGCTCTCGGCGGCAACATTGCTCTTCACCTCAAACCAAGAGCTCACCTTTTTGATTCATCATTGGGGGAATTCGGTGCACTCTTTTTCCCTCATTAGGATTTTTTCCCAAAGGGTTTTTCCTAAAGAGGTTTTTAACGAGGCATCCCCCCAAAATGAAACAAAAAGCACAAGCCTTCGGGGCCCATGATGAAAACAGGCACCATGCTACTCCTTTTCACCACATTATATGTGCCTCAAGGAGTGGGGGACTGGAGGACCCCTTCGGGAAATTCACAAAAATACAAAAAAATTCATTCGGCCCCAAAATGTGGGGGACTGAGGGACTGCCCTCGGCGAACACGCAGACGCAAAACTCCTCACCACTTTTACAAACTACAGCAAGGCAGCATCAGAGGACAAACACAAACTACTCCTTTTCCCTCAAGTACCTTTCGGCAAAAGGAATGAGGAACTCTTGATGGAGTATATGGCCCAGGGACCCCCCGGCCCACATACTTTCACTATTACATTTAGGCCCAACAGGCCCAAAACGGGCCAAGCCCAACATAGTGAAGCCCTAGGCAGCCCACAAGGCATGAGGGGGTGCCTTCGGCCCCAGGGCCGAAGGCCACCAGTGACAGAATAGGGCTCACAAACATCGCAGGGTAACAAGGCTTAAAAATCAAGCCTTCGGCAACTGGAACCCTCGGCAATATGAGGCCCCCGATATGCAGAGCCTTCGGACTATCATCTACAGCCGAAGGCATCTTCCTTGACAGGATCTCCCATCCACATGTGCTAGATCAATGTACCAAGTACAAACGTCGCATCCAACCACCGCATTTAATGCGGCCACATGTGAATGCCAGTGCCACCCCGATTGAGGTGACCCCTCGACCGCCAGAATGCTGACACGTGTCCCTATCTAGCATTTATTGTTGCTATAAATAGCACCCCTTTCCCCATTGTAAAGCACGCTCAACACAATTCGAATACACACTTGAACTCTATCTCTCTTATTTATTTGCTCTGACTTCTCTCTAAGTTACTCCCCACAGTAACCCCTCGGATAAGCTACCCCCCGGGTACACTATCCATCACAGGATTTTAACATCATAAAACCATAATTAATACAAATAACCTCTAAAAGGTTATTTTCCGGCGAACCGGTCATTTTGGCTTCCAAGTTCGCTCTTGGACTTAGAACCACCTTCCAAACCATTACTCCACACTTTCATCATGTAGAATAATCCTAAAGGTTCTTCATATGATATACATTTCATATGGTAGAAGAAAAAGAGAAAAAAGTTATGATAAAGTCATTACCTTAATCCTTTCACACTTTTAGTGCTTTAGCTCCTTTTCTTGAGATTCTTTCTTGTGAGATCTCCTCAACAATGGAGAAGGAGGGTGGGGAGTTTCTTTGCTCTTGGTGGGTGGAGGCTGGACGAAATGAGGGGAGAGAGATGGGGGTTCTCTTTTGTCTCATTGAACAAATGGGTGTGGATGTGATCCACCTCATTTTTGTTTGATGTTTTTTCCCACAATTCACAATCCTTCCCCCATGTGTTCCCATCTTACCAGCCGGCTAACTCCTTAATTTGAGTGGCCAAATTCGTGGGTTGGCCCCCACCCATGTGGGAGGTCAACCCTTTTTGTCCAAAAGTGTACAATCGATCCCGAAAGTTGTATTTTTTCGGACTGTTTTAAATATATTTTATTTTATCGGGTCAAATAAAATATATTATGCGTTCTCGATCTTTACGACCTTTAGAATGAATATACATTCCCCAATTTCGGGCTTTTATCTGTTAAATACCAATATCGGTATTTGGGCCTCTTTTGACCAATCGGTCAACTCTGAGCCTTTCCATGGCCCAAGTGAAGTATCCACCATCATGTGAATATTATCTAAATCAAGATGAATAAAATATATGGTCTCGGGAATATCGGGCGGTCCCCGCTCTTGATGTGGGCCCCACGTACAATTTACTATTCACGCGAAAGAATTAATAACAATTCACAACATTGTAACTTCGTTAACAATTTTATAGAGTTCAATACATTATTCATTTAAAGGTAAATATATTTGGAGACGGTGTTACAAGTTCACCCCCCCTTAATTGGGATTTCGTCCCCGAAATCCACGTGTCTAATCGAAAAGAAAAGGGTACTGCTCCCTCATTGAGGCCTCGGTCTCCCAGGTTTCTTCTTCGACTCGATCACTCCTCCAAAGGACCTTTACCAGAGGAATCTCCTTGTTCCTTATTTTCTTCACCTGTTGACCCACAATCTTCACCGGTTCCACCGCAAATTGTAGGCCTTCAAGTATCTCTACCGGTGGTTTCTCAAGGATATGAGACGAATCTCGCATGTATTTCTTGAGCATCGATACATGGAACACGTCGTGTATCGTCTCAAGTTTTGGCGTCAACTTGAGACGGTAAGCCACGACCCCTATCCTTTCAAGGATTTGAAATGGACCAATGTATCGGGGGTAAGGTTTTCCCCTTGATATAAATCGGATGATGCCCTTCCAAGGAGAAATCCTTAGGAAGACTTCATCACCGACTTCGAATTTCAACGGCCTCCACTGTTTGTCAGCATAGCACTTCTGCCGGTCTTGGGCAGTCTTGAGTCTATCCTGAATGATCTTCACCTTAGCCTCGGTGATCTCGACAAGTTCAATTCCTTCGAGCTTGGCCTCGCCAATCTCGTCCCAACACAACGGTGTCTTGCATTTCCTCCCATACAATGCCTCGTATGGAGGCATGCCAATACTCGCCTGATAACCGTTGTTGTAGGCAAACTCCACTAGAGCCAAATGCTTGTCCCCACTTCCTTGGAACTCCATGACACATGCCCTAAGCATATCTTCCAAAACTTGTATCACTCGCTCGGACTGTCCGTCCGTCTGTGGGTGAAAAGTTATGCTAAACTTTAGTTTAGTACCCAAAGATGCTTGAAACTTTGGCCAAAATCGAGATGTGAACTGTGGATCCCTACCCGAGACAATGGATATCGGAACTCCATGTAATCTCACAATCTCTTCCGTGTATAGCTTGGCTAACCTTTCGAGAGGATAATCAATGTTGATAGGCAAAAAAATGTGCACTCTTGGTGAGCCTATCAACCACTACCCATACTGCATCATAGTTGTTCAGTGTTCGTGGTAGTCCCACCACGAAATCCATGGTCACATGCTCCCACTTCCATTCTGGAATGGTAAGTGGCTGCAAAAGTCCCGCCGGGTGCTGATGTTCCGCCTTGACTTGTTGGCAAGTAAGGCACCGACTCACGTACTCTGCGATGTCCCTCTTCATACCCGACCACCAGTAACCTTCCTTCAAGTCTCGGTACATTTTAGTACCTTCTGGATGCATGGCATACGCTGAAGAATGAGCCTCCTCCAGTATAGACTTTTGGAGCTCCTCATTATTTGGTATGCATACACGTTCTTTAAACAGTAAAAGACCGTCTTCACGTATCCGAAAGTTCTCAACGGGCCCCTCAAGGATCCGTTCACGGATCTTCTATTGAATAATAATTTATTTTGTATCAAGTTTGTCAAGAGTCTTGTATTAGTATAGCCTTTATTGCTCCTTTATGTATTTATTATTGTATTTATTAGAGTAGTAAAGGGTATGGGGCCAAAGTGTCAGGCCCATAAATTAGGCTGAAAGCCTTTACGCAAACCTTAACTTGCGCATATAAAAAGGCGCATAAGGTTTAGGTTTGCGTTAACTTTTGCATTCGATCTTTACAGCCTCAGAGCTTATCATTCTTAGTGTAGAAGTTCATGGTATATCAAAGACGAGTTTAAGGATCTTCTGCGTATATCTTTCTGCTATTCTTATCTTTGAGTATCGTTATATTGCTGTAATCATATAAACAGGGACAAACAATTGGTATCAGAGCCGATCGAGGCCGATCAAACGTTCATCATCGAAAGACTGCTGTTTTCTTGTTCATCTGTAGTTTTTCGAGTTTAGCTATTGTAATCTTGTTTTTGATCAAATACCTGTAAAAGTTATACTGTTAGATTCGCAATCTCTTAACTATCAAGCAGTATACCTTAGATTCTGCTTTGCGCAAAATTTCCTTTTTGAGGAACTCGACATTGAGAACTCGAGACTACATGCTCTACAAGTTCCACTCAGCTTTTTGATCTGAAATTTTCACAGGAGGAACTCGACATCCAGAAGTACAGGAAATAATTTTCAGATCTTGAAAACTCGAAACTTTCTATTTGCAGGAACTCGCAATTCAGGGTTTTGAACTCCTAAACTCGTAGTTGGACTTTCGAATTTAGAACTCGCATTGTATAAACTCTCAACATCAAAACTCGCAAGTTTTTACTCGAGTTTTGAAGTTGTGAGTTTCACATCTCGAGTTTTGAAAACTCGAAACTCTAAACTCGAGAATCTAGTCTCGAGTTCTCTTCTTGAAATCTTAAAACTCGAGTTTAGCATTTCAACACTCAGGAACTCGAGGTTCTGCCTTAGAATTTTTTTCTGATCAAATCTCGAACGGTCAGTTTATAACAGCAATGGCAACAGACTCTTCAGCACTTGGTAACAACAGCAATCCCCCAGTACTGAGAAACGGGGAATATTAGATGTGGAATACTCGATTTCTCAACTTTCTTGAGAATAGGGATAACTCTTCTGCACTGCTGGAATCCCTCTCTCAAGGCCCTGTAGTATTGTGGATAACTATCCCGGGGAATGAGAACATTAATCCACCAATTGAACAAGTCAGACGGATTAAAACACCCACTGAATACACAACAGAGGACAGAGAGAGATTGAAGGCTGATCTCATTGTCAAAACATACCTGCTACAAGCCATTCCAAATGATATCTACGTTATGATTGATAGTATGCAGACTGCGAAGGAAATGTGGGATGAAGTCGCAAAGCTGCGGAAGGGAACTTCCATTGGACTAAAGACAAAAAGGCCAATACTCTGACGACTATGACTCTTTTAAAGCCTTACCAGGCGAATCACTCATTTCCACCCACAAAAGGTTCATGACACTGATCAACGAACTGAGAAAGATCAATATATTCAAATCCAACATGGAAATGAATATCAGATTCATGTCAAACCTGAAACCTGAGTGGAGGAAAACTGTCAAAGATGTAAGAAAAAGTCTGGACCTTGATGAAGTGGATCTCTGCACACTGCGAGACCATCTGAGAACCTTTGAGAACGATGTTGCAAAACTAGAAGGACATTACTCAACTGATCCATTAGCACTTGTTATGGAAGCTCAGCCACAGAGGCCCACGAAGGTCCAGAAGAAGAAGAAAAAGGTTGTGATTGAGTCAAAAGAAGAAGAAAGTGAAGATGAGATAGACTTCGAGCATGAAATGGCGGAGCTGCAGAAGAAGATGGCACTCCTAACCAAGAAGTGGGGGAAGAAGAACGGCTCCTCAAATAAGCTGAGAACCTCCTCCTCTAACTATAAACAGAAGACCCCTGATCAAAGCAGTTCTGGCAAGGCAGCTGCAGCTGATGATTCTCTAGAATGCTATAACTGTGCAAAGTCAGGACATCTTCAGAAGGACTGTCGTCTTCCAAAGAGAAAGGATGTTAACTTCTATAGACAGAAAATAATCTGGAACAAGCAGAAGTTGTTGCTGGCCAAAAAGGAAGAGGAGAATGCAGCACTGCTTGCTGAGAATGAACATTGGAATGAGGACTCATCTGACGAAGAAGAAGAAGAAGAGGATAACTATGCATTGATGGCATTGTTGGAGGGTGAAGAAGAAGAAGAAAAGGGTGATGTTGCGATCCGCGAAAGTGAAAGCTCGAATAGCACGGTGAGTACTTCCGATTCTCAATGCTCTTGTTCTAATCAAGGTCGATCCTTACAAGCTAATGATGACTTAATTAATGATCTTAAGGAGAAGTTAGACAATAACTATCAAGAGTTTGTTAGGTGTCTAGACCAAAAAGCTTCATTAAACATACAACTTGAAAATGAAAAACAGGTTTCCAAAAAGATGACTCTTGAAATTGATGAGCTAACACTCAAGGTTGCTAACCTGACTGATAAAGTTTTTCAAACTGAGATAGAGCTAGGAATAGAAAGAGCTGATAAAAATATTCTTGAAAATCAAAGAAATACTCTGTTTAGCAAAATCAAAGAACTTGAAGATCTGATTGAGGTTAATCAGAACAAACATTTTTCCTAAATCAAATTAGTGATGACCGGTATTATAATCCCAGATCCGGGCTTGGCATGTCTAATCCATGCTATCTAAATAAAGTTGATTGCATTCAGCTTTATGACTCAGATCACATGAGACTGGGATATGTTCAGAAAATGTATTATACCGGTGAAAAGGAAAATGCTGAAGTAGAAGAAGAAGAAGAAAAGAGAAAGAACCCAAAAGCTGAAATTTCTTGCAATTATATTGATTTAAACGAAAAAAGTCTCACAGGCAAAGGGCAAGAATTTTCTACTAATGAATGTTTGGATCCTTATGTTGCTGTACAGGATGTACCACACTTGGGACATCCCTTAGACCCACCTCCAAGAATAGGTATTTCTAAGATTGGAAAGGAACCCTGTATCTTTCCAATGGCCCAAAAGCTCAAAGATCTTCAGAAAACCTTAGAAAATGAAAGAGAAAGGTTTGAATCAGAAAAGAAAGGCTTTGAGAGCAACTGGGAAACGCTCTTAAATGAATTCAACCAACTGAGCATTAAGTACCACTCAAAAACAACCCTACAATCCACTTCTAGTACAGCGCAAATGGAAACTCCCATCTCTCCCAACCAAACTAATTTTTCAAAAGAAACGTCCACTCATCCCTCTTTTCTTTTGTCCACAGGACAAGAAGTGAACAAGAGATGGAAGAAGAAGGAAGAGTGGAGGCTGAAAAGAAAAGAAACTGCTGAAAGAAAGAAGAAATTTTTCGAAGAAAAGAAGTCCAGCTCTTGTTCCAGCTCTCTTTTTTATTCTAAGAAAAAATGTAATTCTTGTTCAGTCAAACATTCTTTCAGTAATTCAGCTTTGAGTCCTAAGCTGAAAAATTATGTGTTGTCTTTTGAACAATCTGCTTCTTATAATTCAACTGATGCTTATGGCTATTCTGTTCCTGACCCCCATAACTATGAATGTGATTCGAATGTTGTTAAGGTGCAACCTCGGAGAGAGGTTAAACAAAGAAAAGAAAACAAGAGTAGAACATTTGAGGGACTTTTCTGTCTTCCAAATCTAAAATATCCCCTCAAAGTTCACTCTGAGAAACACGTTACCAGACTCTCGAAAGAGAAGATTTTTAAGTCTCAACTCACCAAACAACCATTCAATCACAAGGCTAATGTCTACACTTCTCCCAACACCAAGCAAAAGTGGGTCCCCAAAAATGGACCTACTAAAACTGAAACTGCAAAGTGGGTTCCCAAGAACGGACCTACTAAAACTGAAACTGCAAGGTGGGTCCCCAAGAACGGACCTACTAAACCTGAAACTGCTAGATGGGTCCCCAAAAACGCACTCACTAAAACTGAAACTGAAAAGTGGATTCCCAAGGTCAGACCTTATGCAAAATCAGAACTGGCTATTACAGAGCCCACAAAAGATAAATCTTTTGGTGAGAAAGCTGCTGACTTTGGATCACAGCTAAAAGCGAAATTCAAAAAGGTGTTCACTGTTGATAAGGAAGGACCCATTCCAAGATGGGGACCTAAATCTGCTTAACTGTTTTGCAGGGCGGTCATGTGTGGCACTTAGATTCTGGATGCTCAACCCACATGACCGGAATCAAACACCTGTTGAGCAACTTCACCAACTACTATGGAGGAAATGTCAGGTTCGGCAATGACGCCTCATCTCCAATCCTTGGGTATGGGGACGTCATCTGTGCCAGCGTAACCATAAAGGCTGTCTTTTATGTCAAAGGGCTCAAACATAACTTACTGAGCATAGGACAATTTTGTGACAGTGGGATGGAGGTGAGGTTCTTTGCCAAACAATGTTGTGTGTTGGACAACTTTGGGAACTCATTATTAACGTGTAACAGGACATCAAACCTGTACACAATTGATCTGAAAAGTGTACAATCCACCACTTCCATCTGTCTACTGTCCAGAGCTTCGACTGAACAGAACAGTCTATGGCACCGACGCCTTTCCCACCTAAACTTCAAGAATATCTCCATTTTGTCCTCAAAGAAACTTGTAAAGGGGCTTCCTCTGCTAAAGTCTTCCGCTGACAATCATTGTAGTGCCTGTAAACTAGGCAACATGACAAGAAGCTCCCACAAGTCAAAACATGTACCATCATCCACTCATCTGCTGCAACTTCTTCACATGGATCTGTGTGGACTTGTTGACGACTTCTCACGGTACACATGGACAAAATTTCTTCGTACCAAAGATGAAACTGCAGGAATCATTATGACCTTTATCAGAACTATTCAGAAACTACTTCAGAAGAGTGTGAGGATAACCCGAACAGACAATGGCACTGAATTCAAGAATCAGGTTTTCACTGAGTTCTATGAATCTCAGGGTATCACACAACAGTTCTTTGCAGCCAAGAATCCACAACAAAATGGGGTGGTTGAGAGGAAAAATAGAAACACTTGTTGAAGCAGCACGCACCATGCTGATCCAGTCTAAGCTCTCTCACTTCATGTGGGCTGAAGCCATCAATACAGCGTGCTTCACACAAAACAGAACGTCCATTCATAAACGCTTCGACAAGACCCCCTATGGGATCCTCTTCAACAGAACCCCAGATATCTCCTTCTTTAAAGTATTTGGCTGCAAGTGCTTTGTCCTGAATGCTAGAGACAAAAGGAGCAAACTCGATCCAAAAGCTCGGGAAGGGGTGTTCATTGGCCACTCTACACAGTCAAAGGCATACAGAATCTATTTGAGAGATCGATGAACTATCATAGAGAGTGTGAATGTAACATTCTATGAAATGGCAGACTTCGCTTCTGAGCACTTCTTGGCAGACCCTTCCTCTTCTGAACCGCAACAACCCTCTGATGAAGCCATTCCTCAAACTTCATCTGACTGTGTGATTCTAGATTCACTGTTCAAACAATTTTATGAGAATCCACGTCCCGTAACTCCAATACCTTCACCACAACCTAGTCCTACCCCACTGATCCCACTTCTACCCAGTCCAGAAGACGTACCATCTACGCCTTCCACTCCTCAATCCAATCCAGAAGAAGTTGAAGATCACGAGTTTGATACAACTCCAAAATCATCTCCTCTACACAACACTACTGCTCAAGAGCACACTATTCCATATGAGGACTCGGATCAACCAATCATAACTCCAATTCCTATGGCTCATGAAAGGAAATGGACGAAGGCACATCCTGTTGAACAGATAATCAGTGATTCGAGTCAAGGTGTCCGCACAAGATCTGCTACAATGAATGAATGCCAGTTTGCTTGCTTTCTAAGCCAGAATGAACCATCCAAAGTCTCTAAAGCACTCACTGATCCAGATTGGGTGATTGTTACGCAAGATGAGCTCAATCAATTTGAGAGACTACAAGTTTGGACACTCGTGCCAAGCCATCTCAGAAATCTATCATAGGCACCAAATGGGTGTTCAAGAACAAGAAAGACGAAGAAGGAATCATCGTGCGAAACAAAGCTAGATTGGTCGCAAAAGGGTACAATCAACAGGAGGACATATACTATGATGAAACATTTGCACCCGTAGCAAGAATTGAAGCAATCCGCCTCTTTCTTGCATATGCGGCTCACAAGAACGTCACCGTCTTTCAAATGGACGTGAAGACTACCTTTCTCAATGGAGTTTTAGAGGAAGATGTCTACGTTTCTCAGCCCGAAGGATTTGTAGATCCCAATTACCCTGACCACGTGTACAAACTGAACAAGACCCTCTACAGACTGAAACAAGCTCCAAGAGCCTAGTACGATGCCTTGACAGAGTTTCTGGTTGATTCAGGTTTCTCTAATGGAAAGATTGATACTACACTGTTCATCAAGCGACAGAAGTCTGACATTATTCTGATTCAGATCTATGTCGATGACATCATCTTTGCCTCCTCAAATCTGCGTATGTGCAAGCACTTTGAGAAACTAATGAAAACCAAGTTTGAAATGAGCATGATGGGAGAGTTGAACTTCTTTCTAGGCCTGCAAGTCCGAAAGCTACAAGATGGGATTTTTATCAATCAGTCTAAATACATACTCGATATGTTGAAAATATTTCACATCGGCGGCAAGTCATCCATGCCGACCCCTATGTCCCCCAACAACAAACTGGACTCTGACCCCTCAGGGAAACCAGTAGATCCCACCAACTACAGGGCAATCATTGGATCTCTCCTCTATCTCACGTCTAGCAGGCCTGATATTGTATTTTCCACATGCTTGTGCGCTCGATTTCAAGCGAATCCGAAGGAATCACATCTGACAGCAGTAAGAAGAATCTTGAGATACCTCAAAGGCACTGTGAACTTAGGCCTGTGGTACCCCAAGCATTCAGGTTTTGACCTAGTCGGATATTCGGACGCAGATTTTGCAGGTTGCACAATGGATAGAAGGAGTACCTCGGGAGGTGCCCAATTCTTGGGTAAGAAGTTAGTCTGCTGGTCTTCCAAGAAGCAGAACTGTGTGTCAACATCTACAGCCGAGGCAGAATACGTCACAGCTGCTAGCTGTTGTTCACAAATATTATGGATGAAGACCCAGCTAAAAGACTACGGGTACACATTCCGCCATATCCCGATCTACAGTGATTCACAGAGCGCCATCGCCATCACCAGCAACCCTGTTCACCACTCTCGCACCAAACACATTGACTTGCGCTATCATTTCATCAAGGACCATGTGGAGAAAGGAGATATTGATATGTACTTTGTAAGCTCTGATCTTCAACTGGCTGACTTGTTCACTAAGGCTCTGGATGAAAAACGATTCCAGTTCCTAGTCGCCAAGTTAGGCATGTTGAACCTTGAGCATGTGTAATTTTATCTCCACTGGTCTGTACAAGGGTGTGTGTGGGACTTGTAAAAAGTGTGTGTGTGTGTGTGTGTGTGTGTGTGTGTGCGCGTGAGTTGCATGTGTCAAGGGGGAGAAAAAGCGTAAAATACAAAAAGAGTGTGTGTGAGTTGCATCTGTACAAAGTGAGTGTTGCATGTGTTGAGGGGGAGAAAACCCCGAAAAGAACAAAAACAGTGTGCGTGAGTTGCATCTGTACAAAGTGTGAGTTGCATGTGTCAAGGGGGAGAAAAAGCGTAAAAAAAGAAAAAAGAACAAAAACAGTGTGCGTGAGTTGCATCTGTACAAAGTGTGAGTTGCATACATCAAGGGGGAGAAAAAGGGTAAAATTACAAAAATAGCATGTGTTGCATGTGTGAGTTTTTTTATTTCTTCCTTGCATCTTCTGAGGGGGGAGTTCTGCTCTGTTACATTTTTCTTTGGGCATAAAATAATCTTCATATCAAAATGAGCCCAACACTCCTCTTTGGGCTCGAAATATTTTCTCGCACGGCCCATACCTTCTGTTCTTCACATATAAAAACGAGATCTTGACCCATCTTCTTCATTGTTCTCGCACTCTCGGAATCTCAACGTCGGGCATCCACTATGTTTTAGTCTCTCTCATCTCGAAATCTCTTCATTTTCCCCTATCGATCGAAAACAGAAGGTAGTTCACAGGGTTTCGATCGTTTGAACTGATGAACTCGAAAAGTTTTGAAAACGATCAATCTCCAAAAGTGTTTAAGGGGTTTCGATTCGTGTTATATACTTCCTCTGTTCCATAAAAGTTGTAACATTGGAATTTCTACACTATTCACACACCTTACTTTGACTACGATTTTCTAATAATAAATATAAGAAAAATATTATGTATAAAATATTAATAAATTTGCATTAACGTAAATTTCCAATATATTAACTTTTTTAATGTTTACTAATACATAAATGAATATAATTACAGTCAAAGTTGCACGTTGGCAAACGTGAAAGTCAAACTGTTGCAACTTTTATGGAACGGAGGATAGTATATGTTTTGATATTTTTGCAGGTGGAAATCTTCGTCGTTTGTTGGGGCGACCTCGAGATTAAGCTTCTCGTTGTCTAAACCATGTTTCAGAATCCATCGTTTTCAATTCGAGGCCAGATCGCGGGTTTCTAAACTCGCGCAGTCATGAACTCGAGTTTTAAACTCGCGGTCATGAACTCGAGTTTTAAACTCGCGGTCATGAACTCGAGTTTGAAACTCGCGGTCATGCACTCAAGTTTCAAACTCGCGATCATGAACTCGAGTTTGAAACTCGCGGTCATGCACTCGAGTTTCAAACTCGCGATCATGAACTCGAGTTCTGATCTCGAGTTTTATACCTGGAGTTCTGAACTCGAGTTTCAAACCTCGCGTTCTACCATCGAGTTCTAACCTCAAGTTTCTGCCTTAGCTGTTCGATGATGTCCACCCGGCCCCTGTATTTTTCCTTTAAATTTTCAAAATCCAAAAACATCAGATATTTCAAAACAAAACCAAGGAGGACCTTTGTGTTGACCCCACTTTTTTTATCTCATTATGTCAGGGACAGAGCAGAACGAAGCCCCCCACAGTCAGCTGTTTCCCAAGGAAAACTGGGTCCGACTACAGGACAACAACTATCAGCTTGACCATGCGTTGTTCAAATGCCCAGACCTTGTCATCCCTGTCATTCTTCAAGGGCACTACATATGGTCGGCACTCACCAAGGCAACACCTGTCCCGGAAGTTTACCTGCAACGATTTTGGAGTACCATGCACACGCCCTCAAAGAAAGACAGATCAAAGATCCTTGCTACGTTGCACAATAGGAGGCTGGTACTAACTCCATCTACGCTGAGAACCACTCTGGAGCTGCCAGTGCACACAACGTATGATCCGCTCCCGTCACGGACTGAACTGATCAAAGCAATGGAGACTCTGGGCTATGATGCACCTCTGCCGATGATGTCCAATTTTAAGCTCATTAACCTACCTTACCCATGGAAGACCCTATTTGGCCTCTTCAACAAGTGCCTGTCTCCAAAGCACGTCGGCCACGACAAATGTAACCAACAAATTCTGCAAATCTTCCATGGGATAGCTTTCAACAAAAAGTAGGACATGGCACAACTTTTCTGGACGGAGCTGATGGACCAAGTCAAGGCCAAAGAAAACAACAAAGCCGGTATGACGATCCCTTACGCTAGATGGTTGGCTCTCATCATAAATGACTACATGTCAGAAAATCAAGGGATCCCATGGCGACAAGATGAAGAGCAGTTCGTTGCCCCAAAGGTTTAGTATTTCAAAAGCTTCAAACACGACACTATTGGCATGGCTATTCCTGACTATCTGATAAATCTCGCCAATCCAAGGAATCCAGCAGTTGTTAGATATAGAGAGGATCTCAAGAAAATGGTCCCTATGGTTCAGCCAAACCCAACTGGACCTACCCCGGGGACCAAACCGAGTGTCAGTAAGGGTTCAAAGAGCGCCCCAAAGCCACAGACACTAGTGGCTCGTCGGCCCCATGAAGGAAAGTCCGATGACTCTCTCGAGAAGAGTCGGACGGCTGAGGGCACCTCGAAGGACGCTGAGGATTCCGTTGATGAATCGTCCAGTACTGCCCAGAATAAGACTGACGATGAGGCATCTGGGAGCGTGGCCACCCATAGTGATGAAGGATCTGATGCTGACGGATCTGATAATGACAATGATGATGATGATGATGATGATGATGATGATGATGATGATGATGATGATGATGATGATGATGATGATGATGATGATGATGACGAAGTTGAGGCTACATATGCCATGATAGGCAAATGGAAGATGCTGGCTCAGTCTCCCAAAAAGATTACCGCTGAAGAAGCTCAGCCTATTCTCGCTAACCGATCCTCCACTGTCCTCATAAAGGAGAACGAGTCTACACATTCTGAAATCAGGAGATTCAAGTCCAACTACAATGAGGCTGAGCACATCATCAAAAAATCTGACGACGCCGTCATCCGTGAAAAATGTGCAAAGGTCAGAAATGACATTTCTAAGTCATCCAAGTCCACACAAAAGCAGCACACCGGAAAGAGCTTATTTGACTATGCAGATTTGGACGTCTTTGCTGACTGCGACCCCTTCATCAATATAAGCCGAGCCGAATCCCTAAGCACAGGAGCCGATCTTTTCGGTTCCCGAGTAGAAGTCGCAGCATCAGGCTCAACTGCGCATGCACCACCCTCTCCCAGTCACTCGTTAGCCTCCCAACAGGCTAACGTTTCAAAATCACGGGAACAACCCCCCTCACTTATTCCTTCTGAATCTACTGAGAGAACTAGTGGCCACCAGCCCGAGGCCACAACCCCTCTTTCACACACATCGAGTCTAAGTGTCACACTTCCAAACTTTTCAGATTTTTCTAGGACACCTACACTTTTCACTGCACAAACACGTGCACACACCCTAAATGCAACGACCCGAGTGCAAACAATGACGGTCGGAAGTCCTGCTACGCAAACACTGGTTTCACCATTAAACGCAGGCCACACATCAGTTGTCTTCACTGATGTTGTGACAACAGTTACCACCCTCGTAAATGGTCACCCCACCTTTGAAGATATCAACGTTCTCCTGAATCGTTTCCTGGATTCCACCATAAAGCCATGGGTGCAAGGAGCAATGACCGCTTTTGCACAGGAATTTAGGAACACCCAAGCGGTTCAGCCTGAACATCCTGCACCTCAACCCTCACCCGAGCCCTTACTCTCTCATACCCAACCGTTACCTTCTCCAGTCTTATCTACCCAATCCACCAACCAACTTCCAGTATCTTCACCTTCTCGGGGAACCTAGGATACACAACAAGTGTTTACCCCTACGTCGACCACACCTTATCCCAATCCCTATTCCATACCTACCCCACAGTTAGCTGATATCCTTTTCCTCCACCTCTGATCCACTGATGAACATAACCTTACCCCTTTTGAAAAGGATCTAATTGCGGTCTTCTACAAACATAACCGCCCATAACCGAGCACTTGTCGTGACAGTCCTCATGGCCACAAACGTTCGCATGAGGACCCCGACGATTCGGGACCTCATGAGGGGGAGAACAAGCGGCCCCGGACACTTGAGCAAGGTGCTTCTTCTAGCCACGCCCCGCAGCCAACTCAACCTTCACCTCCAACCAATCAACATCCACCCACCTCTAGCCAGAACCAAGCCAAACTCACTAGCACGGTCGAGCTAGTTGGAACATCCCGAGGCTTATCTCCAAGAGATACTGTCCGAGGAGGGGATGGAAGTCCTGACGGTGCTATCTCCGATACATCCATTAGGCCAGGCCATCAGCCAGAACCCAGTTCAAAGCTGATGACAATGGGCAATCAGAGGGAACCCGGTAGTGCTTCTCAAGCAAGATCACCGCTTCAACAGCAGCAAAGAGTTCCATTCATTCCTCCAAACAAGGACATCCATGACGCGCTGGAGGATGTGGTGATACACGACAAGTGGCCACGGAAATGGACAGAGTGGGATACACTGAGAGACGAAGCAGAGACAAAGGATATGCAACGAAACTGATGGCTTCGTGAACTACTGGCCAAGTGTGCTGAAGATATCATACGCCTTGATAAAGAGGAACTCAAGGAAGGGGAAGATTACAAGAAAACTCTCAAGGAGCTTGAATTGATTATCAGACAATCAGCGGGTCAAATGCCAACAAAGGAGAAGCCCTGAGAGAATGTACGAATCAATGCCCCCTTCCAAGAGGAAATCAGAAAGGGAATCTGGAGACAACCAGGGAAACTCAAGGCCCTTAATGAGCCAAAGATCCGCAGACTTACCCACTTCAAAGGGAAATTTGTGGGTGGACATCTGCATATGCTGCACCATAGATCTTCTGGAAAACAAAGAGAGATCCTTGAAAAGGACTTAAAAAGTAGCATACATCCGATTTGCAGTATTCTCGATATGCATGAAGAAAATCACCACGTGATACAATTCTTCAGCTACAAAGTGCAGCGCACAGACTCAAGCAAATTCATCTGCCAAGAGAATGACTTCATCATGATGAAAATGGATGACATCTATCACATGTTCATGGCCTGCAGATATCTTCCAATAAATCGCAACAGAATCTACAAGGAAGGCTTTGATGCAATCAAAAGATTTATGCTAAGACAAGTCAGATTCCACTCCACTCATGATCTGCAAATGGCGCTCGAGAACCATGTTCGGAAGGCAAATCTCACAATGCCGATTCTATATGGAGCAGAGGTTAAGGAATATCAACCTTACCACATCTTTAAGGATCCGCTCTCAATCTTATATCTCAACCATAAAGAGCAAAAGCGCCTGATGTGGGTAGAGGACATTCACCAATATTGTGATGGGACTTTAAAAGTCATTCAACAGAAGCTGCTACCTCTCAAAGAAGATCTTTAGCAAAGACTTGCTGATGTTACTGATGAAGAGTTGGAAACTTTTGACAGACTGGAAACAATCATGCAGCCCATCATCAAATAGCTTGATAAGAGAAGAGCACTGAGAGAGTATGAGCATGCGCTGAACATAAGAAAACACTACTTCAAAGTTCAGAAATAAAAGCAAGATGGAACTTGATCACAAAGGGGGAGATTGTTGAAGAATAATTTATTGTGTATCAAGTTTGTAAAGAGTCTTGTATTAGTATAACCTTTATTGCTCCTTTATGTATTTATTGTTGTATTTATAAGAGTAGTAAAGGGTATGGAGCCAAAGTGTCAGGCCCATATATCAGGCTGAAAGCCTTTACGCAAACCTTAACATGTGCATATAAAAAGGCGCATAAGGTTTAGGTTTGCGTTAACTTTTGCATTCGATCTTTACAGCCTCAGGGCTTATCATTCTTACTGTAGAAGTTCACGGTATATCAAAGACGAGTTTAAGGATCTTCTGCGTATATCTTTCTGCTATTCTTATCTTTGAGTATCGTTACATTGTTGTAATCATATAAATAGGGACAGACATCTTCTGACATTCTTCATCAGTGGCCTGACATCTACTGATCTCACCCAGCAATGTGGGCTTAACCTCGAATCTAGCAAGGAGGAACCCACTCGTGGACACCTCCACTAGTACCCTCAATGTTCGTAGACATGTGAGTAATGTTCCCGACGTATTCTTCCTGCTTAGTGCATCGGCCACTCCATTGGCCTTTCCGGGATGATAGTCGATGATCAAGTCATAGTCCTTGACCAACTCCATCCATCTCCTTTGTCTCATATTCAACTCTTTCTGAGTGAATACATACTTCAAGCTCTTATGATCAGTATAAATGTGACATGTCTTCCCGTATAGATGCCTCCAAATCTTCAGTGCAAACACTACCACCCCCAACTCCAGGTCATGGGTAGGGTAGTTCACTTCATGTTTCTTTAATTGACTAGAAGCATAGGCACTCACCCGACCGTTTTGCATTTGCACACATCCATATGTGTGGGTAGGGCAAGGACAGGTGCCTTGGTAAGTCGTTTCTTTAGTTCGAGGAATCCTTCCTCACACTTGTCGTCCCATATGAACTTGGCCCCTTTCTTGTGAGCTTTGTTAACGGAGACGCCAACACAGAGAAGTTCTCCACAAACTTACGATAGTATCCCGCTAAGCCAAGGAAACTACGTATCTCCTTCACATTTTTGGGTCTTTCCCAATTCATAACGGCTTCTATCTTGGCTTTATCCACCGCAATGCCCGAACCGGACACGACATTCCAGAGAAACCCAATCTCTTTGAGCCAAAACTCGCATTTGGAGAACTTGGCAAAGAGTTGTTTCTCCCTTAAGCCATTCAAGTACAAGTCTCAAATTATCTTCATGCTCCTCTTCACTCTTGGAGTATATCAGAATATCGTCAATGAATACTATCACAAATTGATCTAAGTATTCACTGAACACACGATTCATCATGTCCATGAATGCCGTCGGTGCGTTGGTTAGGCCGAACGACATCACCAAAAATTCGTAGTGACCATATCTAGTGCGAAATGCACTCTTAGGTATGTCACTCTCCTTTATCTTCAACTGATGATACCCTGACCACAAATCAACCTTCAAGAATACTGTTGCCTCTCAAAGTTGATCAAATAAGTCGTCAATTCTCGGTAAAGGATACCTATACTTGATTGTGACTTTGTTCAACTGTCGGTAGTCGATACACATTCTTAGTGTCCCGTCCTTCTTCTTTACAAAGAGTACGGGTGCCCCCACGGTGAATGACTGGGTCTAAGGAACCCGTTGTCCAAAAGCTCTCGAAGTTGTACCTTCAACTCTTGAAGCTCGGCTGGTGCCATTCGATAAGGAGGAATCAAAATGGGTTTGGTTCCCGGCTCAACTTTAATTACAAACTCTATCCCTCTATTGGGTGGAAGCCCCTGTAAGTCCTTTGGAAAGACGTCCCACAAACTTTAATTACACAACACGTACATCATTGATGTCAACTTCTTTCTTTGTGTCGTCTACCACATACGCGAGGTATGCGTGGCATCCCTTTTTTATCATCTTCCGTGCCCTCATCACGGATATGATATAAGCTTGAGATTTTCCACGATCTCCCTCAAAGCGTAACAGGTTTCCTTCGTCATCTTCAAGCTCCAGTACTTTGGTGTAACAATCTACTTGGGCTTGGTGCTTCTCGAGCCAATACATCCCTAGGATTGCATCGAACTCCAACATACCTAGAGGTACGAAATCACAAGTCAAAGGTTGACCCGTCACTTCCACATCACATGATGGATAGTAATGATTCCTCTCCATGGCATCTCCCAATGGTGTGGAGACTAACAAGGTTTGCGTCATTGGCGTCAATGGCACATCAAGACCTTCGGCGAACGCCTCACTCACAAGTGAGCGTTGTACCCCGATATCGATGAGGATCCTCGCACTCCTACCGTTGATCTTTAATGTTCCTACATTTATACGCTATGTAAGATACACCTTCTAATGTTTTTGGACCCCTTTGGAGGTTATTACGTTTACATTAATGTTTGGAATCAAACGGGGGTCCAATCGTTGAAGAACGGAGCGGAAAAATCGAGTTTCGGGTGATGGGGGTCCATGCACGGTCGTGCGTGGGGCACACACGGTCGTGCGTCCTGCGCGAACAACACCCCGGAGCTACTGCCCCTACTCACGATCGTGCGTGGGGTTGGACGCACGATCGTGCGTCCCTTTTTTCAGCCAGTCTTGGCCCGATTTTCCCCGGTTTGACCCCAATCCCTATGACTTATATCATCAATTTATGGACTAAACATGGAAAAAATATATCATTTTGCAAGATATAATACCTATAACAGAATCCGGGTTAGCTCGAGCATCCGTTTCCGTCATCGCATAAACTCTAGCTTGAGTTCTTCCTTGATTCACGGACGGCGCATTGCTCGTGCTCGCTCCTCCTGGCCCGTACTAGCATGAGATGCTCCGGCCCGGTTCCTACTTGCCGTGGTTGTGCCGCTTGGTCCTGACCCCCACTTCCCACCAAGTTGAGGGCAGTTTGGCTTAATGTGCCCTGTATCCCAACATTGGTAGCACCGAGGAGGGTCAAGACACTTTCCCCGTGGTTCCTGTTACAGTTCCTGCACTTAATCACCTTTGGAGCTTGCGAGCCCGAGTTTTGTCCACCCGTGCCTCAGCTTCCTCTAGATGGAGGTGCTGGCTATCTAAACGATCCTCCTCCCCCATGGTTCCCCTTCTTATTAGAACTTTAGGGGCCATGGTTCTCCCACTTCCTCTTCTTCGCCTCCTCGACATCTCTCTTCTTTCTCTCCTCCCATTGCTTCTCTCCCTTCAGCCCTTGGGCAACCACTTGGCTGAAAGTCATGTTGGGCAATTGAGTTGCCCTATCACGTATCTCCAGGTCCAAGGCCTCCCAAAAGTGGTTCACCATTCGGTTTTCATCACAAGCATACTCCGGTATGTGGTCGGCAAGGTCCCTGAACTTGTGCTCAAGTTCTTTCACCGTCATGTTACCCTCTTGGGTTAGAAGAGTATATTCCCTCACCCTGGCGTTTACATCAAAGTCAGAGTAGTACTGGGCGAAGAATTCCTGCCAAAAATTCTCCCAAGTAACAGTCCCGCCATACTTGCCCTTGGTTCCATCCCACCACTTGGATGACAACCCATCAAGTAACCTCACCGCGATTCTCAGTTTAAAATCGGGGGTGAGTTGCATGTCAAGGGCCGCCTCGTTCAGCCTCTTGATCCACTGCGCGGCAACCGAGATGTCTCCCGTTCCATCGAACGTTTTGCACCCTAGGTCCCTCGCCTCTTTGATGTATTTGGAGATCCTTATGGTTGGACCTCCATTATCTCGACTTCCATGTGCTTCCACATGGGTCCTCGAATCACAATAGCTCCTACCTCTTGGAGCTCCGCCCGAAGGTTGCCTCGCACGGTGCCTTCGGCGTTCCCTCCTTTCCTCACGCTCCCGATGATATTGTTGGAGCAGCGCTTCAATTCTAGCCAAGGAGCCATTTTCCTCCTCGTCACTCGCGTCATCGTCATCCCCTTCATAAGGGGTTTCAACCGGCTCAGTTTCCGGCCGGTAGGTTGAGTCCTCATAGGACCAATAGGTCTCACTTTCAGTGTTGACATGGCCATCGCTCACGGTTTGTCGTTGGCCTCCACGGCCCCTTCCTCTTGATCCCCTAGAGGACCCCTGGCTACCGCGCTCAGACCCACCCGGTGCACGGCCCGTCGGGTTCCTTCTAGTTATCCTTCCAACTAGTTCCATTTCTGAAAGAAATTAGAATGAGTCATTAGACTCGTATCGAATGTCAAATGACGGACATGTACTTAAAGACATCCTTTGGCTCAAATCACTGTTATACCAATTGTTAAGGGTACCATCTTAACAATTAGAGACTTTGCAACTCAAGTACCAAAAGTTCTATAAGTACAAAACTTTTATGTTCATGGTTTTCAATTTCGTTTTCAAAAAGGAATTTTGGAGCTTCATTATGAAGTTTACGGACTAAGTCTCTGATACCATTTAAATCGTCACGCCCCGGACCTACCGGACACGTCAACAATCCGCCGTACAGTACGATTAGTCAACCGCAGTTCAACACATTCATACTATACAAGGCGTCTAGAATATCATTCACACGTAATACATCCATAAACAAACATAATGTAAATTATTCTTTAAAGCAGTGGAAACAACATTACAAGTGTTCAAGCCACACTTGGCAAACATGGGCATACAAGCCCCCGAAATGTATATTCAGAAAATAATATCCATGAGCATTATTCATATTGTTTTCAGAACAAGAACAGAAAAAGCACGAACCAAGTCTTCTTCTCTGAATCTTCCCGAAACAGCGGCCAGTAGTAACAACCTTCAAGTTCTACCTGAAACTGTGAGGTGGCCTCCCCCGTGAAGGGGATGTCAGTACTTGGAAGCATTTGATAAGTACAATGACAACTATACTAAGTATAATCAAAGTTTCAATCTCTGAGGCCCTCAATCTAGAGTATTATTACATTATATTTAATTCGTCCATTTAATGTGAATTCACCATTTTTTATTACGGTCTAGAGCCCAGCTCATAATCACCGTTATCTACTACGGTCTAGAGCCCAACTCATAATCGCCGTTATCTACTACGGTCTAGAGCCCAACTCATAATCGCCGTTATCTACTACGGTCTAGAGCCCAGCTCATAATCACCGTTATCTACTACGCTCTAGAGCCCAACTCATAATCACCGTTATCTACTACGGTCTAGAGCCCAGCTCATAATCACCGCTATCTACATCGATCTAGAGTCCAGCTCATAATCACTCTAATCTACATCGGTCTAGAGCCAGCTCATAATCATCGATTCTTTACAATTCAAATTCCTAGGATCTAATTCATCCATTTTTCAACTAACATTTCCGACTAATATTTCAATACTAGTTATTTAATCATTTCATTATAATTCTTCGTTCATGTATGATTTGGCCTTAATATCAAAATATCACTTTTATACTTTCATGGCTTCTTCTCATGGTATAAAAGTATATCATCACAAATGAAATTCATGGTTGATACAACCATCATACCATCATATTCATAACATCTAAACATACACAATTTATTCATAAATTTGTATATTATGCATACTATACTTATAATCAATAGTAATTTCATTTAGGCATTATTAACCATTAATAATCCATGCAAATCACATTTATATTCATTTAGGAAATCCCATGAAATTAACCCAAAGATTTTAAGCAACATAGTCGGTCATCCTCACTTTAAGTGAGTCCTTAACGTGTTCTACGCTCCCCGATTGAACTTTGGCTAATTCCGGCGAACTTTGACCAACTCCGGCAGACTTTGACCAATTCCGGCAAAACTATGGCGAAGCTCTAAATATACCCAATCAAGTTCCTAACAGGATTTTAACATCATAAAACCTTAATCAATACAAATAACCTCTAAAAGGTTATTTTCCGGTGAACCGGTCGTTTTGGACTTAGAACCACCTTCCAAGCCATTATTCCACACTTTCATCATGTAGAATAATCCTAAAGATTCTTCATATGATATACATTTCATATGGTAGAAGAAAAAGAGAAAAAAGTTATGATAAGGTCATTACCTTAATCCTTTCACACTTTTAGTGCTTTAGCTCCTTTTCTTGAGATTCTTTCTTGTAAGCTCTCTTCAACAATGGATAAGGAGGGTGGGGAGTTTCTTTGCTCTTGCTGGGTGGAGGCTGGCCTAAATGAGGGGAGAGAGAGATGGGGGTTCTCTTTTGTCTCATTGAACAAATGAGTGTGGATGGGATCCACCTCATTTTTGTTTGATGCTTTTTCCCTCAATTCACAATCCTTCCCCCGTGTGTTCCCATCTTACAAGCCGGCCAACTCCTTAATTTGAGTGGCCAAATTCGTGGGTTGGACCCCACCCATGTGGGAGGTCAACCCTTTTTGTCCAGAAGTGTACAATCGGTTCTGAAAGTTGTATTTTTTTCGGACTGTTTTAAATATATTTTATTTTATCGGGTCAAATAAAATATATTATGCGTTCTCGATCGTTAAGACCTTTAGAATGAATATACATTACCCAAATTTAATTTAGAAGTCTCTGAAATCCAATTTAGGGCTTTTATCTGTTAAATACCAATACCGGTATTTGGGTCTCTTTTGACCAATCGGTCAACTCTGGGCCTTTCCATGGCCCAAGTGAAGTATCCACCATCATATAAATATTATCTAAATCAAGATGAATAAAATATATGGTCTCGGGATTATCGGGCGGTCCCCGCTATCGGTGTGGGCCCCACGTGCAATTTATTATTCACGCGAAAGAATTAATAATAATTCACAACCTTGTAAATTCGTTAACAATTCTATAGAGTTCAATACATTATTTACTTAAAGGTAAATATATTTGGGGACGGTGTTACAAGACGAGATATAAGTATTGATGGAACCCATTTGTATGAGAGGTACAAAGGGGGAAAATGTTGATAGTTATGGATGTTGACAGAAATAACCAATTGTTTCTTCTACCATTTGCTATTGTAGATGAAGGATCTTTTGACAGATGGAGATGGTTTCTTAACTGTCATATAGAGAAAGTAACTCATAGCAAAAGATTTTGTTTGATTTCTGATCATCATAAGGGAATTATTGTTGCAGATAATGATCCCTAACCCAAGTGACAAGAACCTTGGGATTATCACCGATATTGCTTGCGACATATATGCCGTAATTTCAATGACAAGTTTCATAATGAACAATTAAAAGTGCTTGTTTATATAAGAGGAGGTTGACACCAAGTGCAGAAGTTTGATGCCATAATGAGAGAAATTGACAAAATCAATTCATATGCTCGTAAATGGTTGGACAAGATTGGTCTATCACAATGGTCATTGGCTCATGATGGGGGGTCGACATTATGAAATAATAACTTCCAACTTATCCGAGGTGTTTAATAGTGTGCTAAAAGGTGCTCGGAATTTTCCTATCGCGACATGTGTGCAACTAACTTTTTATCGATTAGTTAATTTTTTTTTGTGAGGTGAGATTTTATGGGAGATGCAATGGCACAACGATACTTGTATACACCACATGTTCTTGCAACTATTCAAGGATGTTGAGTGAAGGCAAACACACACGACATTATTTTGTAGATAAAGCACGAGGAGTTTGTGAAGTAGAAACTGCCCCATATGGGGAAGGGGTGCAAAAAGGACACAATGAACGAGTAGTCCACCTTGATGAAAAAACATGCAATTGTGGAAAGTGACAAATTTATAAAGATCCCTGTTCACATGTAGTCGTGGTATGCGGCCAATAATGACTGGACATTGGTAGTGGCGGTATTACTACACCATTTAGAACTACACCCAAACTTGGGCGTCTCAGTTTAATTCGACCCCTCATGAAGATTATTGGCCAAAAACAAATATCCCTCAATTGTTGCCAAATCTTACTCCTAGGTGTTCCAAAAAAGGACGTCCACAATTCACACAATTTAGAAACTGTAACACCCCGGCCTCGCAGGACCCGAGGTAGCTACTCTAGACCAATAGTACTGTCCTCACAAACCACCACGAGCCTTTACCGCACACTTTGTCCTCACTCATGCGTGCCCTGAGAAACTTCCCAGGGGGTCACCCATCCCAAGACTACTCTCGTGCAAGCACGCTTAACTTTGGAGTTCTTGGGCGATGAGCTCCCTTAAAAGGAGATGCACCTCTGTTGGTATGAGTAGTACTATTAATCCGTTTATATTAAATCTCAAGTGTTACAATCACCTCCACTTAGGATCGCAACGTCCTCGTTGTGCCCTTAAACCAATCTGAATCAAACCCCAGAATCTTTTCCCCTGCTAGGTGTCTGCCCGATATCCAACGGATCAGCACACTGTCGCAGGGTTGCTCTGATACCATTTGTAACACCCCGACCTCGCAGGACCCGAGGTAGCTACTCTAGACCAATAGTACTATCCTCACAAACCGCCACTAGCCTTTTCCGCGCACTTTGTCCTCACTCATGCGCGCCCTGAGAAACTTCCCAGGGGGTCACCCATCCCAAGACTACTCCCGTGCAAGCACGCTTAACTTTGGAGTTCTTGGCTAATGAGCTCCCTTAAAAGGAGATGCACCTTGTTGGTATGAGTAGTACTATTAATCCGTTTAAATTAAATCTCAAGTGTTACAGAAACGATATGGATACAAAAGAAGGGAAAAGTAAAACGCGGTGTGGCATTTGTAAAGAGCCAGGTCATGATAGGCGGAAATGTAAAAAGAAGACGAAAGAGATGGGCTGACATCCACATACGTATTAGGTAAACCTTATGTTTTTGTTTTTAAATTCCAAAAACTTCGTCCTTTCACTTCAATTTTTAACACATTTATTTAAGTCATGTTGTTCTTTTTCTAAGGAGATGGCTATTGGATTGTCAACTGACTTTCTAGGAAACCATACTACTTGTAGTGGTTGGAACCAACAAATGTTTGACCATTATATAGGAAATTGCAATTATTTATAATGTAAATTGCATATCAATCTGTCATATGTAAATATATGTTATATACTCACACATTTTATTTGTTTATTTATTTATGTGTAGATGGTGAGAAAAGAAAATGACATGAGCTTATGAGTGTCATCACTTGGAGCGTTTTGAGTAGAGATGCCCATTTTTGTAATATTGGAGAACTCTATTCAATTTTTACTAATTTTAATTTTTTTGGGCAATGAATGTATTCATTGCTATGATGATATCTTCAAGATCCCATGTAGCACGTTTCTTTGAGCCCGAAAAACTGAAAAAGCACAAAACACAAAAGTTTAATTCGTGGAACCTGCATAAATAACTAGATATTCCATAATCGAACTTTACTTGGAACTAAGTTCATTTTTTGTTAACCAAAAAGAGTTAAAAATGAATGAAATTTATATATCTTTACATCAATTTTTATCACTAGTACAAAAAAGCCATTTTACATCAGCTTATCTACCTGTGTTATTTTAAAACCCATGTAGAATACTAGCACGGGGTCCTTTTTATAATTTTTATAAACTTTTTTAGATGGGTTGTTGTTATAACCCATGTTAAATAGCAAATCGGGGTACATTTTAAAATTTTACAAAATATTCTAAATCGGTTATATTTGGAATCGATGTGAAAAGAAAAACGGGGTAATTTTCATAATTATTGAAACTTTATTTTAGATCGTTCAAACCAACCGATGCGGAAGAAATGAAACAACTCCGCTTGGGGAATATAAGGAATCGATCCTAAATGTCTTGGTTCCCGGCTTTTATAGCGCCCGATTTTAGCCCAGACCAAGAGCGATGCGAAGGAAAGAAGACAGAGAGACGGCGAGCGGCAGGAGTTCAATACGGACGGCGGAATCGCGACGGCTGGAGTTCAATACGGATGGCGAGTTCACGACGGAAAGAAGACGGAAGAGCAGTTCAGAAATTAGAGCTTTGGACAGACTTCGAGCGGCTGGAGTTCAAGCGGATGGCGGACGGTGTTCCAGCGAATGACGGATGGCGTTCTAGTGGAAGGCGGACGGCGTTCGAGCAGCGGACATGTCATCGTCTTCAGCAATTTACGGTAACTCCCAAACTCTTAAATCGTCTTCAACAATTTATTGTATCTTTGCTCTTCTCTTTTTCTCGGTCAATATTAGAACGCAGCTGTATACTACTCGGTATATTGGGTAACGTAAAGGCTGAGCATGTAAATATTTGCTTCTTAAATTAGTACATAGCCCATGTCACCCATTCATTTGAGAAGCTTTTGTATAAAGCTCTTTGTGTCTCTTTTAACATAATTTATTTATACTTTTTTACTTTTTTCATTGAGAATTGCTAAATGCAAGTATTTCAGATGATAACAAGAGGCACCGAAGAGAGACCTGCAATTGTGGCACTTGTGATGACACAAAGAATACTTTCATCGCTCCTTTCTGAAGGGGATAAGTTGTAATCATTCAGAACATTCTAGTCCAAAGTTGATGGCTAACAATAGGCCACATAGCTCACAGTCATCTGAGCTCATTGATCTCAGTAGCGACATTGAAGAAACCGGGGTCATCGTGCCAACACTTGATGGGTAACCTCTCTTTTCCCTAGAATTTCTCTTATTGATCTGTTTTATGATAGCCCTATGTGAGGTGTCATGTACAGGCTATCCGTAATCTGAGGCATATGCTATGGTTTTCAAAAAAAATTAGAACATTAAATTGCAATATAAAATTTATACCAAATGCCCTTTTTCTTTATATTCAAATAAGCTCAAAGCTTATATTCCTAGTTGTAATATATTCATTTTGAGGGAGGGGTCAAGAGATAAAAGTTGCCTGCAAGTGTAATATATATAATAAATGCATTTGACGCCTTGCGCGCAAATCACTCTGCCTTTACCCTTCTAGTCTCAAACATTCTTTCCTTCAGTAGCATGCCCAGAGCAACACCCACCACCGTGATGGTGGTGGCCATGGTCATGATGTTTCTTACCCTTGAGCTGCTTCCGCATATCGTAAGAATCTTCACCGTCTGCGTAGTACTTTGCTTCAACATCATGGATCTTGTATTCTAATGTCTCTGTGTACAGCTTGAATGCAGCCCTGTTTCTTTTCCTTACATGGAGTGAAACATATTCTGCACCAAACACATGTTCCATGGCATTCTGAGCAGCGGTCATGAGCTTGGTGGCAATGCCGAGTTTGCGATGGGAACGAAGGACCGCGAGTGATGTGATATGTCCATGGCACTCGGAGGTCTCCTCTTGCATGTTAGACAGCACGTAGCCGACGATTTTTCCGTTGTAATCCTCCACCACGTAGAGCAGTTGTGGCCAAGAGAGTATGTGGTAGAAGTAATACTTCATCTGGTAGTTCTCCAGCAAGCACAGGAGGTTATGCCAAATGCCCCTATATACCCAACTCTGAGTAACACAGTTTCATGTCTTCTCTCAATATTATCCATAACATTAACGGATGTTGTGTTGATCATTGTCATGCTGCAGATTGCTTCATACAAAGAAGTAAACACGTTTAACTGCCTATTCCCTATGTGATAAACTGCTATGCTGCTCAGTTGCGACTTTTTCTTTGTCCGTTGGTGACTCATATTCTTAATTTAACTTTAACTTTTAACACGTGACTTTCAAGTAATTAATCAATGTATTGTTCTGTTTCTATGAAGATGGTTTCTTGGATATCCTGTAGTATATCTGTTTGGCAAAGATCATATTAAAGATGCCATATATAATCTCTCCACCAAGTCCCTTTATCTCTTCCAAATTTTAGCCTGCAGGTTAGATCATGCTTTAACAATTCTTTACAGAAGACTAGCATTTTGTTGTTGACATCATCTATCCTTGAAAGCAACGTTAACTCGAAGGCTCACTATGTTGACCTTAACTTATACTTTATCCAGAAAGGGTGCGGGTAATGATCGATCTCAATCTCAAAAAGAAGAATTATTGAGGTAAGTAGGAAGAAATGATACCGCTTAATCCTTTTAGCTAACCCCATCATAGTGGAAAACCTTAGTTTTATTTGGTTTGGTTGGTTTCAAAAGAGCATATTTATGTCTGCCAAAACATGAATACCTTCAGATATACAAGAGCCATGGTTTCTTTGTTTAGTTTACGTATATGCTTGTTTAATTTGTTTGGGCCCCGTGCCCTCTTCTTGGATAGCTTGATAAACTTTTTTTTATAGAAAAAAACATATAGATCAGATAAACAATACTTATCAGCCTCAAATTTATGATGAAATTAATTGTCTATGTATCAACTTAATGATCTTTTGGCTTGATTCTCCAATTACGAACAGTTTCTCTATTCCTTATGAACTAAGCTTGGCGGGGAGTGATGAACCATGGGCGTTATGAAAGTTGTAGTCTCGAATGCAAGTTGTGAGTTATGAATGTGGTTATTATGTGATGTTGCATATATTGAATATTTTTTGGGCGGTAATTCTTGAAATGTGGGATGATGTACATTATTATTTTATTTACATTCAATAGGTTTGCTCCATGTAATGTTTTTTAATAACCTAGCTTCTTATTTAATTTGTAGCGATTCGCCAATCCGGAACCATTCCCGTCAGAAGAGATTGAAGAAGTACGAACTCGTTGGGCATAATATTTCTTAGAAATGACGCAATCCATCAACGACACATGAAGAACGTGTTTGTTTTAATTTTTGAGTGATGATGAGACTTGTAACTTTATACAATGTGTTATTACTCTAGACTTGTGCAAGGATTGTTTGATTTTAGCTTATTATTATGTACCAAGTTGTTACCCGAACTTGTTTAACATTTGTGGAAAGATTGAAAAATAGCTTGTGTTATGATTTTAGATGGATCAAGTGAACAGGTGAAAAATTGTGCTATAGTAGTTGATGATACTGTTAATGATGTGATTATAGTATGAACGTGGGTCATATTGCAATTTTTTTCCTGAAAAATACCGGAAAAATTGAAGCTTTTCACATCAGTTGTAAAATAACCAATGTGATTGCTTTTCTACATGACTTATAACCGATGTGAAACTCATGTTCCGAAAAAAAATGAAGCTTTTCACATCGGTTGATAAAATGACCGATGTGAAATATTTTCTACATGGGTTATAACCGATGTGAAAAACCTATGCTCCGGGAAAATTGAAGCTTTTCTACATCAGTTGTAAAATGACCGATGTGAAATCTTTTTTACATGGGTTATAACCGATGTGAAATATCATTAGAAATGCCGTTTTGGACTATCTTCTAGATCGGGCACTGAACGACCGATATAGAAAGAATTTCCACATCGGTTAATTGACCGATGTGAAAAGTCTCTACTTTTCACATGGGCTGGAACCACATCGGCTGTTTGACCTATGTGAAAAGCCTTTTTTGACCGATGTGAAAAGCCTTTTCTGTACTGGTGTATGTTTTTATTTCATATTTTTTTTGAGAAAAAAATGAAGGAATACGTTACTTATAATAATTTAATTAATGTTCTACCAAATTGATATGCAAAAAAATATGATGAGTGTATTTTATTGATGACGCTGGAATGCAGAGAAAAATAGTATTAAAGATTTAAACACTAATTCAATATAAATGCAGTCCATCTATATATTATACATTTAAGAGTCATATTGGTGGAAGCTTTTGCCACATGTCATTCCTTTAATCATTTGCCACATGTCACTCTTACAACATCATTCACTCTCATGCTCCGTCAATTTTACTTCTACTCCACATAAATGGTATAATATCAATTATGGTATATTATTAATTGGTAGTAAAAAAAATTATCATGTAAATATAAATTGTTTCTATAAATATTCAAGAAATCACAAACATTCAACCGTCTTTGATCCATGTTATTTTAGGCTCCATGTAATCTATATATTATATATTTAAGAGTCATATTGGTGGAAGCTTTTGCCACATGTCATTCCTTTAATCATTTGCCACATGTCACTTTTACAACATCATTCACTCTCATGCTCCATCAATTTTACTTCTAATCCACATAAATGGTATAATATCAATTATTGTATATTATTAAGGTGACAACTCCGGTACCTTTTTAAAAATTGAGGTACCGTACCTACGACCTACCATGCATTTGATTGGTCCAAATCATTCTATTCCTTTTAATTTAGATTTAATTAATTCAACTGCACGATTCCTATTGGTCCATTTGGACAAAGGTATGGTAACTTAAGGGTGCCATAGAATCTACCTATTATCAATTGGTAGTAAAAAAAGTCCCATGTAAATATAAATTGTTTCTATAAATATTCAAGAAATCACAAACATTCAACCGTCTTTGATTCATGTTATTTTAGGCTCCATGTAATCTATATCTATATCTATATCTATATCTATATCTATATCTATATCTATATCTATATCTATATCTATATCTATATCTATATCTATATATTATACATTTAAGAGTCATATTGGTGGAAGCTTTTGCCACATGTCATTCCTTTAATCATTTGCCACGTGTCACTCTTACAACATCATTCACTCTCATGCTCCATCAATTTTACTTCTACTCCACATAAATGGTATAATATCAATTATTGTATATTATTAATTGGTAGTAAAAAAATTATCATGTAAATATAAATTGTTTCTATAAATATTCAAGAAATTACAAACATTCAACCGTCTTTGTTCCATGTTATTTTAGGCTCCATGTAATCTATATCCATATTTATATCTATATCTATCTATATATTATATATTTAAGAGTCATATTGGTGGAAGCTTTTGCCACATGTCATTCCTTTAATCATTTGCCACATGTCACTCTTACAACATCATTCACTCTCATGCTCCATCAATTTTGTTTCTACTCCACATAAATGGTATAATATCAACTAGTATTTCACCCGTGCGTTGCACGGGATGTAATTCGTGGATATTATCAATATTTTATAAGTAAGTTTATGATTTTGTATACAAATTTAAAATATAAATTATCACACAAATCAAATGAAATAATAAATACGTCTTTTAAAGGTCCTTAATAATTAGAATTTTAAAGTACACAGATTGTTAGAAGACTTCATTATCGATGACATTTTTTGAAGTAATTTAATTTGCTTACCCATTAAATATCACAAATAGAAAGAGTTCTCATATACTCCGTAATTATTTTTAATAACCCAAGTTTACCTCATCAAAAATCGAATCTAATGTGGGGAAATCATAAACTCAAACTTGAATTGTTTCAACCAAACTAATTATCTAATGGCTCTTATACTAAACGTAGTACATCTAAGTTCACAATAAAAAATCAAATCTAAAGTATGCTTTTATGCACATATCATCATATTAAAGATAAAAAGCATAAACTAAAAATGAATGTGCTTCCAAATTCTGAATATAAACTAAAAACTAAAGTAAGGACTACCTTTTCTATATAGGCTGCACAACTATGAAAATATTAGGAAATAGAATATATTTTTCTATCATATCTTAGCTTTAATCAGGATTATATTCCCGATCGTGTTGTAAATCAACTTATGAACGATTTACTTATCTAATGAGAAGGCGCGTTTATAATAAAAAGGGCAAAGAATACTTTTCTTATCACTCAAATGAAAAATATGGTTACTTTGTTACACCAATGATATATTGGCTAATATTAACACCATATCATTTTACAACAATTGGCAAACAGTTGGTTCCAAGAGAATTACAAAGGTATGAATCAGAAAATTTGAGTAACTAAACACAACCCTTTATCCTAAAAAGAAATGAATTAAAAAAATTAATCGATTATGCCAAAAAATTAAGGAAATATGTCACTATGTTGCTTCACCTTTCCCCTGAACAACACCAAATAATGTTTTATGGGTGCCCCATGCAGGCATGCAGCCCTTGTTGTTTGAGCTTAACCAATCATATCATCAATCTGCACAAGAGAAATGTGGTTCAAATAGATCAGTGTAGGTATATAGTGAGAATTATTATGGTCATGTGTTGTAGCATTAACCGGCTAATTCGAAAAAGTAGGCTTTGCCGTACTTGTATGCTTAAACACATTCTACAATTTCTACCAAACACTTTTGTGATCAGAATAAGATATTACATACATCCCTTGCAAACTTTCACAATCTATAGTTATCTTCCCCTCTAGTATGCTTAGGAATCCTAAACATCATCAGTGTTTGATCAAACAAATGTAGTGTACTCATATAATACTTCCCCACCCCATCAGAAGAATGGTTTTCCAAATCCCCTTTCTAGTATGCCCAAAACATTGTTCAGTTTCCTCAAATAAACACCAAAACAAATAATAATGCCCTGCAATGCCTTAGCAGCTTATAACATGAGAGAAAATAGTAGAAATTGAATGAACTTTAATGGAGATGAGAAAAAGTTTCAGTTTTGTTTCTCTATATTAAATAAGAAATTGAATGAACTTTAATGGGGCTTGATGGAGTATATGGCCCGGGAACCCCCGGCCCACAGACTCCTACTACTCCAATAAAGGCCCAACAGGCCCAGAAAGCACAACAGGCCCAAATCACAGCGCCCAGAGTACCAAGCAGCCCACAATGCGCACCAGGGGTGCCTTCAGCCCCCTGGCCGAAGGCTCTAACTCTCACAAGAGGGCCAAGACAGGAAAACAAAGTTACTGGGAAAAACGGCGAAAATCAGTAGCCCTCGACAGTGGGAGCCCTCGGCACTAAGGGGCTCCCCGGTACTCAGAGCCCTCGGCTAGTCATCTACTGCCGAGGGCGCCACTTCCGACATAATATCCGCTCCACATGCGTATGGATCACCGTACCCTGTACAACGTCCCATCCAACAGCCGCATTAAATGCGGCCACATGCGGTTGCCAGCGCCAACCAGTTGAGATGACCTCTCGGCCAATAGACGCTTGACACGTGTCCCTGTCTGGCATTTATTGCTACTATAAATAGCACCTCATTTCCCCATTTGTAACCAAGTCACAAGTCATAACACGCTGAAAACACTGCATACTTTCTGAATATACTTTCCCTCTCTATACTTACTTGCTCTGACTTCTATCTAGTTATTCCCCGTAATAACCCCTCGGATAAGCTACCCCCGGTACACTATCCATCAGGGCTAATTCAACATTCAAGGATCATTTCAAACTCCTTTCTTTATATCAGCAAACAAAGATGTTAGATCTTATCATAATTAAATGTAAAGTAGAAGTTATGCACCATATATGGTATGCTTTTCTGTTCATGCTTCGAAGCTTAATAGCTTATCACAGAGACATTTCTCACAGGAGACCAATTGATGTAAATATATTTGGCTCCTACTTTTGAATTTCAAATATTATACCTACTAGAAAATATGTGGCTAATCTAAAAGAAAATTTGAACATTACTCTAAAATCAAGGAAGTACTCTATTAGTCTATTTCACCTGTTTTATCTTCATTTTGGATCAATTGATTCAAGAATGGTAAGTCTGGAAAAAAGTATTAATCCAGAATAGATGCAATCTCGCTACCCTATTTGGAGTTCCGGACATTTGCAATTCAGCCTAAAATTAACTTAATAAAACCTTATTATGTTACTATGTAAATTCGGATTCATTACCCCCACTAACCCTTTACCAATCACACACAAATACTACCTAAAGGCCAAGCTGCCAAAACTACGTCTTTAGGCTGAAAAAGGGAAAGATCTGTCAAAAAAGACTCCAAAGACCGTCTCTCCAGTTACTGAATAGAATTGTCTTGGGTATTTGTATCGTGTTGATTTCAATATATTTGTGTGTTTATAGTAGGAACTACAACATTCCAATTTTCAAATATAGATCTAGAATTTTAAAATTATCATTAAATATAAAACTAACACTCACTTTATAATGCCACACTAATCGTTATATTATTTTAAAAACT